ACTGAGCGATTGAACTGAAATGAAAGGATTGAAGCAACTACATCCCAGTGTCTTCCCCAACTGCTAAATTTTCTGGATTAGTGAAACTGAGACACTGTTGAAAGCATGTGCACATTCTAAAAATGTATATGCTGAACTCTTCCCCTACCCCACTTGATTTTTCCCCCAGCCCAGAATATGTTCATGTAAAACAAATGAAGTTTCTCTACACCGAGGAACTCTAACCAGTTCAAGAAAAAATATCTAAACGTAATGGTAACTTGAATTCTCTCAACAAAACCACCTAAATAGCACAGCCTATAGTAAAAATCATTGTCAACAGATATCTCTTTCATAGTGAGCTTCAGTCAGCTCTTTAACATCCAGTCTTAAATATTAGCAGACACTGAGCTGAAAGATTAACATATATTTGAGACAAGTATCTAATATGAAATATTGCCAAAATAAACAGAGAAAACATTTGAGGTAAGAGACTAAAAACTAAAACAGGTTATTATATTTGGAGAAAATTTTGTAAGAAATAAAACCAAGATGTTATATAAAGGAATAACTAGATAATTAAAAATCAATTATACATATAACTGCAGAACTAAATAATTCAGTAGAAGATTGGAAGATAAACTTGAGAAAATGACCAAGAAAGTCATTTTTAAAAATACTAAAGGACAAAAAAAATAGAAAGAAACAGATAAAAAAAAAATAGAGACTACATTTAGGAAGCCTAATATCAAAATTACAGGAGCCCCAGAAAGAGGGTAAAAAGGCTAGAAAATTATCAAAGAAATAATCTAAGAAAAATTTCAGGAACTGAAGCACGTGAGTTTCTAGATTAAAAGGACCCACTAAATGTCAGCACAATGAATAAAAATAAGATCTAGATTATATCAAATTATCATGAAATTTCAAAATACTAGGGACAAAGAAAAAATCCAAAAGGTTTCAGAAGATGGGAGAGTAGGAGAAGAGTTTTCATTCAAAAGTTTATAATCAAAATGTCATCAGAATTCTTGGCAGAAACTATAAAAGCATGAAGATTATAGAGCTCTAACTTCAAAATTCAGAAGGAAAACTTTTTTCAACCTAGAATTCTATACTGTTAATTAAGGTCAAAAGTAGGTTCTGATATTTTCAGACATGTGAGTTGTCAAAATGTAAGCTTTCCTGAAAGCTTCTGGAACATACATTTCACGACTAAGTGAAAGTGAAAGTTGCTTTCCGACTCTTTGCGGGCCCGAGGACTATATAGTCCATGGAATTCTCTAGGCCAGAATACTAGAATGGGTAGTCTTTCCCTTTGCCAGGGGATGTTCCCAACCCAGAGATCGAAGCTAGGTCTCCTGCTTTGCAGGTGGATTCTTTACCAGCTGAGCCAGCAGGGAAGCCCAAGAATACTTCAGCAGATAGCCTATCCCTTCTCCAGAGGATCTTCCCAACCCAGGAATCTAACCAAGGTCTCCTGCACTGCAGGCGGATTCTTTACCAATTGAGCTATTAGGGAAGCCCACAGCCAAGTGAATAAAATAATAAAAAGAAATGCAGGCATTAGGGGGTTAAACCCAGTAGACAGTTGAAAATAATTCTTAGAAAGTCACTAAAGGGAAATTCTAAATCAACAACCATGTAGCCAGGGAGTGAAGTATGACATGAACAGTAGAAAGTAAATAGATATCAATAGCTGAAAAGTCCAGGGGTAGCAATGTTAAGAATCAACTTAAAGAATTGAAAACGGTTGCTCTGAGAAACGGGAAATAAGGGTAGCAGAGGAGGGCCTGCTTTTTTATAACAAGCTGTGACAATTTGATTCTTAAAACTAAAGTATATAAAGCTTAGGAGGAAAAAAATATCCAAGAATAGCAAAGTCATGGATAAAGGAGTAATGGTGAGCATATGAATATTTGAATATGAAAATATACTCATTCAAAACTCCACAACTGTAGTAATTATAATTATAAATCAAAATAAAGTGCTATAAATGTTGACAGTGAAAGATAATAATATTGGTAACAAACTACTGGGAAGTGTGACAGAAAGATGAGAAGTATGCATGCCTATTTTCAAACTTTCATAGCAGGATATGAATAACATAATGTCTAAAGTTAAAACACATGATTTTGGACCCAGCCTTAGACAGTGGAGGAATAGGATGGGGAGACCACTTTCTCCCCCATAAATTCATTGAAAGAACATTTGAACACTGAGAAAACTCCACAAAACAACTTCTGAACGCTGGCAGAAGACATCAGGCACCCAGAAAAGCAGTGCATTGTCTTTGAAAGGAGGTCACCTCTATTTCCTCCCTCCCCCTTCTCTTCTCAACCCAACTCTGTGAATCTCTGTGGGTGTTCTGGGCTGCGAAGAACACTTAGGGAACAGAGTGCTGCCTATATCTGTCTCTCTCCTCTTGAGTCCCCCTTTTTCTCCTCCTGCTCACCTCTACCTCCTTCCTCCCTCTCCTCTTCTTCATGTAACTCTGTGAACCTCTCTGGGTGTCCCTCACTGTGGAGAATCTTTTCACCATTAGCCTAGAAGTTTTATTATCAGTGCTGTATAGTTGGAGAAGCCTTGAGGCTAGTGGAAGAATAAGACCGAAAGCCAGAGACAGGAGACTTAAGCCCAAAACCTGAGAACACCAGAAAACTCCTAACTACAGGGAACATTAAGTAATAAGAGATCATCCAAAAGCCTCCA